GTGCGATTCCATTACGATGAATGGCTAAAGGCAAGACACACTCTTTCCCTGTGGAGCGTTTTACCTCACACCAATGACGTATATTTCCACAGGTTTCGATCGCAAAGAACGTCATTGCCTCACAATAGTATTCACGTTCTTTTGCGCCTTTGTTCTAGATACTACACAACTTATTCATGGCGCAAGGTCTGCTGGGACCATTTAAATGTTGATTAAAGCAATTTAAATGCAGTTGTTAAAGTCAGCATCCATTTTTAAGTGTAGTTGATATAAGTTAGATGGGGTACATTTTTACCCCATCTTGGGAGCCTTTTGATCTCCTAATAGGTAAATTGTTTGTTTATTTGTAATTAAACACAAAGCTACACAATGGGTTATCTATGCTCTTCCCACCACGGGTATCGAAAATTGGATCCTAGCGTTGTAAGTCCGCAGACATATCGCTGTGCCACTGGGGGGGCTAATAGGTAAATAGTCCCAACCACAAGATATCGCTGTGCCACTGGGTGGGGGGTGGGGGGCAATATTTAACTAAAAATTATTTATCACACACACAGAGCATAAACCATTTTTAAATGTTACTCTTTTCCATTGTTTATTTCCATTGTAATATTTAAAAGTATTGTTATTAAATATTTCGTCAATGTTGTTCCATGATACCCACATTGATATAGATTTTAATGGTAAAGAATAGTTTACATTACTTACAGTTATTTCCATTGTAATATTTAAAAGTATTGTTATTAAATATTTCGTCAATGTTGTACCATGATACCCACATTGATATAGATTTTAATGCTAAAGAATAATTTACATTACTTACATCGATAATAGTTTTAAATTCTATTGTAAAGTCCTCTGACTTCTCGCTGTCTAAAACTTTTATTCTTCTCATTTATTAAAGTATAATTCTCATTGAAATCACTCGATGTTTGAGTAAATGTATATAACACTTCATAGTGACTATGGCCGCCATTTCTTTCTTTTATATATTTTATACAATAATATCCATACTTCACTGACAAAAGCTTTTGTAAAAGGCTCGAATTGTACCTAATTTCCTTTTCATTTAGTCTAAAATATTCTTATGTATTTCTTGGTATTATATCTTTAATGAATTCTCCAATGAGTACCAGGTTATCTACTTTTATTTAAATTAATAATTCCACTTTCAAATGATCTTACCTTCTTGGGTAATAGGTCAACAGAATAAACACCTCTATAACCTTTTCGTATTTCATTATTTTTTCTATATCTTCATGACTTAACGTGGTACTACCCAATTTTAAATTACTCCTTTACCCGAATTTTTCTTTTACACAGGATTTGTTTATTTGGTTGTATTTAAGCACAAAGCTACCCAATGGGCTATCTGTACTCTACCCACCACGTGTATCAAAACCCGGTTTCTAGTATTATAAGTTTGCAGACATACCCCTGTGTAATTGGGGTTTTAAGAATGAAACATTATTCTCTAATAACTTAAAAGATATGATATATGCTGACAGTTTAGATCCAGCGAATTTGTTTTTGATGATTGTATAACTGAAAAAAAAACACAAAATAAAATATTTGACTTTTATCAGAGGAAGAAAGAAAGAAAAATGACTAAATAATTTATTTATCTCAGTCTTATTATTCAACTCTAATTTACATCAGAAGGAACTGTAATTATTTCGTCTTTAAATTATTATTTAGTACTTCTGGTTTAGCAGCGTTTGTCATTGTTCCGTTAGCAGCATTAAGTTTAGGAGCCGGAATTATTGAAGTCATTGATAAGTATATAAAAGTATCTCTCAAGAAAAAATAATATAAAAGTCTTCTAACTTTTACCAAGAAATTCTGAGTTAATTTCAAGGTAAAAATATTATCGAAGAAGAAATTAACTTAAAGAAGAAAGATTTCATACAAACTTTAAAATACTTTCCAAGAGAGAAGTACATTAAATAAGCAGAGTTAAATAGATATAAACGAGATGAAGTGATCTTGTTGGCTGGATGTAAGATAAATTTAATCCTCTTGAAATGTATTTACCCGAATTTTAGTACCAGTTAGAGGTGATCCTGGAATTAACAGAATGGATAAAGCATGTAAGAAACATGATATTGATTATAGTAAATCAAAAACTACAGTTGATAGACGTATAGCTGATCAAAAATTGATAGAAGATATAAATGCTATTCAAGATGCAACTTTACGTAAAATAGTTGCTAGTTGCTAAAAGAAAAGTAAAACAACCAATATTCAGGTTTCAAAAAATAGATGATCTATTATGAAAAGAATATGTAAAGTTTATAGGCTGAAAGTCTAAGTTAAAAGAAAAGAAAGAAATATTATGATCCAGAAAGAAGTGTCAGTAAACAAACATTAAAAAGAAAAACTCAGTTACCTGAAAAAGAATTAATTGAATTCTTACATCAGCAAGATGAATATACAAAATATAAACAAATTAGATATACATTTAAAATAGTTTTCGTAATACAAACGAATGACAAATGGCGGGAAGATTTAGTTGATCTGAGACAATTTAAATCTTACAATATTTACATAAAGTATGTTTTAACAGTTATTGATATTTTTAGTAAATATGCTTGGGCTGTTCCAATCAAAGTTAAAATGGGAGAAGAAATAGCAAAAAACATTCAAAGTCATTTTTAAAGAGAGGAAACAAAAATATTCAAACCGATAAAGGAACAAAATTCATTAATAATCAAATTCAAAGGTTATTTAATGAACACACTATTCGCTGATTTACAACTGAAAGGGATGTTAAATTTCAGATTATTAAAAGATTCAATAAAATTTTGAAAATTAAAATGTGGAAATATTTTACTGCTTATAATAAAAAGGAAATGGATCGGTGTTTTAGATAAGTTAATAAAAAATTATAATATTCATGTCATAGATCAATTAAGATAGCTCCAGTTGAAGGAAGTAAAAAAAAAATAAAACGAAAGTAAAGTATATAGTAATCTATATAATCTAAAAACAATTCTTACTGCTAGACATATAGTTGGTGATAAAGTTCGAATTTCAAAATATAAAGGAACATTCAAAAAATGATACCTTCCAACCTTTACCAAGGAGATATTCATTATAACTGAAGTTTTGCAAACAGATCCTATAACTTATAAAATTAAGGATCTAAATGATGAAAAAGTAGAAGAAAGCTTCCACGAACCAGAGTTAGTTCAATACGATAGGAAAGATGAAGTTTATAAGATTGAAAAAATAATTAGAAAATACAAGTGTGAATAAAGTACTTGTAAAATGGTTAGGATATCCAGATAAATTTAATTCTTGGGTTAATATAATCTCAGAGGGTTTATTTGTACTTTTAATATTTCCATTATTAATTATTATTCTCTGAATCCTTGGGTAGTTCTTTTTTCATTTTGTTGTATAGACTGATGCTGTTAAGTTCATAGGGAATTCTCAAAATGATATCCATCTCTGGATAATCTTCTAACAATAATTTTTACTGTTGAATTAACATTACATTTTTGAGTTCTCATAACATATAAGGATATTACTCTAAATGATTCTATTTGATTAAAACAAATTGGTAATGCTTGTTGGTCCTCACTGCTACATGGGGTTTTATTTAATTTATTTCAATTTTTTAATATATATAATTTTTCGTGCTGAATTCACTGCATTAAACATTATGCAATTACTGTCTTTCATGCTTCTAATTGTAATATCATTACTAAAAGATTGCTCGTTTAAGTGTTCAATGTGATATCTATATTTTGTTCTAGTTTACATTCACCCGTTTTTCTAATTGATGGTAACACTTCCTATTTTACCCATTTAGTAAATTTCTCTGCTAAATGCATTTTTGATCTAAATATTAATTTATACAGCCCGCTCTCATTAATGTAGACAGTGTGAGGTTGAGTGTTAAAGGGATAAGTCCCTGACTGAACCCTTATATTTGTTAGCATTTGTTTATTTTTATTATCAACATTGTCATTGAGTAGGATTTTTATATTCTAATACTTTTGCTTGTAGCGTTGTAAGTCCGTAGACATACTGCTGTGCCACTGGGAAGGCCTCTGAATTAAAAACAGTTAAAACACAGTATGGTGATAGAATTGTAGCTGTACTAATGTATGACAACTGGAACGGATTCCAAATATTTTTACCTGATCGATTTAATAAAAAGGTAACTGAGAAAGATATTAAGACAACGAATAAAATAGAACATCTTTTCCTTGTTTATAAAGGAATGAAAGATTGTGGAAATAATAAAAGAACTCATATAATTAAATTTGGTTCTTTTTTCAAAGAGGTTCGATGTTTTTTTTTTGGTTACTTTTAATGATTTTTGGTGTTTTAAAAATTTTGCATTTTTTTACCTCAGAGTGGGTGGTAGTATATATAGGATGTTTCTGTGTTATTTGGATGGAATCGGGTTTTTTTTCGAAGATGCTTTCCACGTTAGCGGAAAGGATAAAAATTGTTTGTTCCCCTCGAATATGCGCAGAAATATCACACACATATATATATACTACTGACAAGCGTGTTCAATGACTGCTCTTATGCATGAATATAATAAATTTTGACGATATAAGTAGAAATAGTTCACGCACAAATTTTAGTAATACGTAGGGGTTATTTATTATGAAAATAATTAAAAACATCGCACTCCCCACTTTACAGCCGTGGGTGCATTATAAGAGTGACGGTCAAATCCCACTATTCTGGCAGACACGACTAGCTCAAGAGTTGGCAGTGGGTGGTGTTTATTGGCTGCCTTCCCTATATAGTCTCTCACTTCAAAATTAGGAACGGCTAGCGCAGGTAGTCCTCCTGTAGCTTTGCGCGAAATTTAACAAACAATGAACAAGAAAAACTTACCAAAACATTTAGTTGGGACTATGTATTGTAGAGGAAAGATTTTATGAGTGTTGATGAGTTTTCTATAGATTAATATTTTTACTCAAGAATACCACTCGTGTCCTCATAGTATAATTGAAATAAGTTAAATTTTTCAGAACTACTATCCACTACAAGGTCATCTCTTTGCGATCTGTGTATACAAACTAACACAGTAGCTTCACTCCCAGGGTACTGCCTTCTATCTGCGTGTCACGGAGACAGCCGTGAGTACGACAGAGTCTTTTCCTTGGCCAATGCAAACGTTCCGACTTATCCTGTTACTTATATTTCCACTCTGCCTTCTTACACAGGTAAGTTTTTATCGATTTTAACGCACAGTTACGTAATGGGTTATATTCGCTCTGTTTACCACAGGGAGTTAAACCCCGCATTTTAGCGCTATAAGTCCGTAAATAAACTTACTGCTGACTCATCGAGGGACGCATAGGTAAGTTATTACTTTTCAGCAGTTACGTCGTACTTAAGTTGTCATTTATTTCTGTGAAAATCAACTTTATTATAACATGTTTTTTCTAAAATATCTATATGAGGCTATTGATGCAATACACTTCAACACGAATAATTGTCCGATTTCTGAACCTTAATAAATTAGAACGCTGTATATCAGTACAGAAATATCTTTCTCTCTCTCTTTGTGTATATATACATACATAGATAATACAACGTTACTATTTCGTTAACAAGAAAGGGACATTGCTTTTTTCTTGAATGCATATGTTACCTTGTGACGTTTACAAGAAATGGCGAAAAGTCAACGACTAGTAGAAAGTCCGAAGTTCCGCTTGCTGAATGGATTCTGCTGTGTTTTTTTACCCTGGTTTTGTTTCTTGTCTGTATTGACGTTTACTTGTTATATATATATACATACATCTTGGCTCGGCATGGCCATGTGGTTAAGGACGCTCAACTCGCAATCTGCGCGTCGCGGGTTCGAATCCCCGTCACACCAAACGTGCTCGCCCTTTCAGCCGTAAGGGCGTTATAATGTGACGGTCAATCCCACTATTCGTTAATAAAAGAGTAGCCCAAGAGTTGGCGGTGGGTGGTGATGACTAGCTGCCTTACACTGCTAAATGAATGACAGCTAGCGCAGATAGCCCTCGTGTAGCTTTGCACGAAATTCAAAAAACAAACAGACACACATCCACGTCTGTCCGTGTTACTGATATCTTCACTTAAACAGACACAAAAATATATTCATTTTCTGTCTGTCATATATAAATATTGTTTTAAAAGATAGATATAACAATGTTTTTCTTGTCATATTTATTATTAATTAACATATGCGCTCTTATCTAAGGATTAAGATCCTAGTTCTTGTAACTTTTCTGATATCAAAAACAATCATTAGTTTGTAACTTAAGCTACATAAGATCGCGCTACTTTTATTCACCAAGTTATTATGAATGATCTGAAAAATCTGTGATATATCTAATCCGTATTAATTTTTGCGACTTTATCCTAATACAACAAATACATTTAATTTTCAGACTTCTGGACACACCAATATAATCACACAAATGAAGTGAACTGTTTCTAGTCCCTCTACAGGACATCTCGGGAAACTATCGAGATGAAAGTTGTAATTTTGACTCAATTCTCAATCGCTGGTCTTAAGGAAATGCCATTCACGCAGTTGCAGTGGATGTTTGGTGTAGAGGATTTAGTTATAAAATCGATACATTGATTACTTTGAAAATCTTTTTTGTTTTCAAAGGCCTCTGTATTCTCCTCCTTTTGTGACTTAGAGTCAAGTTTAACAGCTGGGGAGCTGTTGTTATTCCCGGGGAGGTTTTAAATGAAAATTTACTTGAGGAATTACGAGAGGGCAAAAACTAAATTAGTTTACGACAAAAGGCAATATTAAAAGTATCGTATATAACAAGCTAAATCTTTCTTTAAACACAGCGTTCTAAAGGTGTATTTCACGTATTGTAAAATAATATCTGTTGCTTGAATTACTATAGTACAGAAAAAAAAGTAACTGAAATTACAACCCCGCAGATGTTCGAATATACGCTTTATAGGCAAGTAACAAAAAATAGCAAGTACCACCAAGAAAGCACACAGAAGAATGGCATAATAATAACAGGCTCCGTGTATGTAAGTTGGACATCTACGGTAATTTTTTCAAGTGATATTTTATATCTTGCTTTCAAAAATAAAAGAAAACCTTTGGTTTATTTTGTGCTTACTTCTCAACCTCTTCGGGGGCAAGTAGTTTGTGAATGAACGCTTTCACGGTTAATGAACATTAGTGTAACTTAAGTTTCACGGACACTAACCATTTATTTGTAGGAAAAACACAAAATTAATCCTACCACACTCACATGGAATGCGTGTGGCCTAGAGCTGTAGGATTTTTACCCTGCAATAATGAAGTTTTGTCACTGATCTTGTGTAATTAATTTTGGAAAGAAAAAAAAATCTCGCGTAATTGAAAAGAAATCCTAAAGCAAGAAGTTTCATTTTTTCAGCGAAGATTTCTCATTTCAGAGAGATAATTAATGTACATTGGCTTTTAAATTAACCCCTAGTGTGAAGGCTTATAATGGTAAAACCTGAGTTTTACCCATGGTGGGCACAGCACAGATAACCCATTGTGCAGCTTTGCTCTTAACAGCAACATAAAAAACAGGAACAAAAACAAACAAACAAAGCTTTTAAGTAGTTTAAACAGACATCATGTGTAATATAGAGTGTCAAAAAACTATGAAGCTGTTATAAATATTTGTATTATGTTTGTGTAATTTAATTAATAATGCTGTCTTTATTTTTCTTTTTTGGACGTACATCCTGTTCTTTACTCAATATCTTTATGTTTTTGTTATTTATTTTATGGTAAAGTTGTTTTTTATGTATGCGCTGATGGTTCTTTAAAAGTTTGCAAACCTTATTTTCAATTCCTACTCGTTTCACCAGTGTTTATATATATATATAAAATTTCATAATTAATTTGGTAGTCTTCATTGCTGTTAGGCTTATTTAGTAAGTCCTTTATTTTTTTCAGAATTGTAGAGTTGCACTTAGGTTTTCTTGGGAAAAATATTGTGTTTTGCATTGTTTAAAGAGGAGGAATCATTACAGTCTTCTTTGATGAATCGGATTAGGACTGGCTTACTAGCGCTTAGCAACAACTTTGATTGGTGTTTATAATGGCTGCAAAGTTCTGTGCGAACTTCGAAGCCTCGACTGCACAACAGATAGATCGGTTTACAATGAAAAACCTCGGTTGAAATACAAGCTTTTCAGCGAATCGTATTATACAGTTTATTGTTTAATCTAAAGAATACTAAATTCATAATCCAATTTTCAATGGAATGTTATTCGATGAATTACATCATCCAGTAACACGTTGCATTCAGCCAAGGTCGTTTTCATTTCTTTGCTAAATGTGTCCTTATGCATTGGAAAAATGGTTTATATTTTTAACTCAGAGTTAGATGATTCTTAATTGATTTATTTACTTTTCTTATTTGTAGCAAATGAATTGCAAAGTTCACAACCTCGAATACAGTTAAGTTACCCTCTTTATAGTGTTTATTGAGCTATATTCTGATGAAATATCAATCTTACATGCTACAAGGGAATTAAGTGAGCATGATGCTCTAAAATGAGCTGTTTTTACGACTTTGAACTTGTCGAATATATTGCCTGTTTCGTAAACTCGTTGTTCATTATTCTGAAATCGATAGGGTCAAATCTCTCTAATATTCTTTAACTAACCACCAATGTGTAACCTGTAATACTATTCAACTCACTAATAGAATCCGAGATTAATTAAGTTGAATCATATTTAATAACAAAATAGTTGTTGAAAAAATCAAACAGTGAATATCGAGATAAAAACGCAATAAAAAACCATTAAAATGATTTAATTGCCCATTTTTAATATGACCACCGTAGCGATCTCATACAAGTGCCTGCCATCGGCGGATAGGTTATAAATTCAATTTTTTTCTGGTTTATATATTTTTCATCCATTGTTTGGTTTTATTGCCCCAGAAGTTTGATTTATATGTCTTAAAAATGTTTGTTTATCTTAGAGCAAAGCCATAGTGGGCTATCTACTGTGTCCACCGCGGACAATCAAATCCCAGATTTTACTATTATAAATTCGTAGACTTCCCGCTGTCCCACCGTGGGCCGAAGAAATATGACAGTAAAACATATTTTGAAGACATAATTAAGATAAAAACTGATTATAAAAAGTTAATATTAAACTTTAGAAAAAATTTAAAATACAAATTATTATATGAAATAAAATTTATTGGTAATACGGCGATAGGTTATAACGCATTTTAATTTAAGAAAAGTGTATAAAAGTGTGTAATTGAAAAACCAGGAAGTCAAATAGATTTGGATTAAAACCATAAGGTTTACTTACAAATTATTTTTTTCTATTTAAAATAAAAATTAACTTACTTTTTCAAAAAAACAAAAGACAAGGCATTTTAAAATAATTATAAAAGGTTTCAATGTCAAGAAAAAGGTGTTATATGCACTTTCTATAAAACAAAAAACAGCGTCCAAACGAGATTTCCAGGTGGTTAAACATACCATAAGAGGTAAAAGTCATGAAAATGATAATAAATTAGGAATAATGACTAGATGTGATTTGGTCGGGCGTGTTCGAGCTGTAAACTGGAGGATGCAGGGCTTCGCTGCAAAAACACCTTTTTGTATTTTGGGGCCATGGATATACAATAAAAGTGACGTTTAGATCTCACTAATCGGTCAGACAAGAAGAAGCCAAGAGCTGGCCGTAGCTACGTGTTTTACCTGTATTGAATCAGCTCAAAATGAGAGAACGCTATACCTTGTTTAACTTTGGGCGCATCTCTTGTGGGACAGCGGTGAATCTATGAATCAACGTTACAGTTCGGGGTCTGATTTCTTGCGGTGGACACAGCAGTAGATAGCTCAACGTGGCTTTAATCTCAAACGAACTTTGCGCGAGAACTTGAACCAAGCAAACAACACAGGTGTGATGACATAGTGATGACTTATATTAAGAAGTATGAAAACTTTGGGTTTGATCACATTCACGAAATTAAAATATAAAATAATAGTATTTTAGTTACTTTGCAGATTTATTTAAATATGTCGGCAGAATATTGAAGAAAATGAACTGTAAGCACAGCATTAAGAAAGTGAGATTGTGTAATCTGTACATAGGTTATTGCCCTGCATAAACTGTTATTATTATTCATCAATAAAAGCCTTATAACCACAGTTTGAAATAAAGAAAACATCATTATAAAATTAAAAAGGCAATTTTAATTGCTAGTAATTCTTATACCTCTAAGCAATTATAACAGTGACAAATAGACGTCTCGGTACACTGTACAACAACTACACCACAAATAGTTTTAGGTGTATTGCAAAATTTGATTTTCTAGTTACCAAAACCGTTCGAAGTTTTTAATTTTCAAACTCTGAAATTTTCCTAAACATAGTAATACGTTATTCAATCATTTCTCGTTGTAAAATATTTACGAAAATATGTAAATAAATTTGTAGAGTTTCAGTCTATTTGCGGTAATCACTATTTAACGTGTTGTTGGCAATGTGCTTGATTGACACATGCCTAGTCACGGAGATAGATGGGAAGGCTACGCCTCGTGATATCAAAAGTAGTAGAGTACATTAATTAATACAGATAAGAACAAGAAAAAACAAACAGATCATATTTTCCTATCAGTCTGTCAGTACTGTAGAAACAGTGAGACTAAGATAGACAAGCCAATGAAAATTTGGCAAATGAATAACAGACAGAAACACAAAACAGGCTTCTGAATACAATAATAAAGGAGTTAATACAATAACGAAATTATATTTTTTTCTGTAAAACTGTGCCATCGTCCTTGTTCGTCTTACGAAGAAAGACGGATAAAAGTAAATTTGGAAATAAAAATTAACACCCATAATACAGAACAATTTTTGCACACATGTCAGTAGAGATAAACAGTAATAGCTACAACAACAAAAATAAATAAATAAATGTAAAACCGAGTGAAACCTCCCTATTCATAAGATACAAAATATTTCAAACATGGCATTTCAGAAGAAACTGCAGGTTAAGAAAAACGTCAGATCATAGGCCATAGATTCTAAAGGACGATCCAATGTTGCTGCTGTTTGTTCGTTTTTTGTATGAACTAACAAATGTACATGTTTCATGAACCGCGTTTCCAAGTTTCTATTTTTTTTCTATACATAATCTATAAATCGATAAGGAAAACTTCAGTGTACTTTCTAGTTCAGACTTTATTTTTCAATGGCGTAAGTAGAAAATTTGACATTCTTGATAAACATAAAGCTGGCACGGCATGGCCTGGTGGTTATAGCTCGACTCGTAATCTGAGGGTCGCGGGTTCGAATCCCTTCATGCTCGTACTTTGAGCCATGGGGACGTTATAATGTGAAGGCCAATTCCACTATTCGTTCTTAAAGAGTAGCCCAAGCATTTGCGGTGGGTGGTGTTGACAACTTGCCTTCCCTCTGGTCTATTACTTCAGAATTAGGGACGGTTAGTGCAGATAGACCTAACAGTAACTTTGCGCGAAATAAACAAGCAAAGAGTCTTCTGGTGAGTTTACGCACTAACAACGTTAAAAGCTGGAATTCGATTACCCGCGATGGACATAAAATATAGCCCAACGTGGCTTTACTCTAAAACAAACAAACAAAAACTTAAACCTAATGTTAGGTAAGTGTATCCTAGTATAGCTATAAATGATCTAATGTGAAGAGTACACATAGGCCACTACCTATACTCTAATTAGCTGTCGTTTTGCCTGGTAGAAGATCATCTAAATAACTCTTTTTTCAGGTATAGGTAGTGACCAAGAAAATGGAAACATTAATGTAAAGTCACATAAAAGGGTGTTCGGCCACTACGTGCGGCCAATATGCGCCATGGAATAGTCTACCAGCGTCTGGAATTTTGCAGGAGGAATGCGAAACCACTTATCCACGAGAAAGTCAATCAACTCATGACTAGTTGATGGAAGTGGAAAACGCTGTCTCAAGCGTCGTTTCAGAATATCACATACATACTCGATTGGTTTCAGATCTGGATAACGTCAGTGTCATGCTCTTCAAACCATTGGGCGACTATTCGTACTCTGTGGACGAGGACATTGTCATCTCGAAAGACACCCCTCACTGCAGGACAGAAATGTTGTAACATGGGGTGAAGATGATCACTGAGTACCAGTAAGTAACGATTGGCATCAAGCTTGTTTTCTATGGGTATGAGTGCACTCAGAACATGCTGGAAAATGCGCCCCACACCATTACGGAACCACGAGAACCCTTCACTGTTGAAACCAAGCACTCAGGGATGTAGAGTTTTTAGGTTGACGTCACACGTGTACTAGTCCATTTGTCGAGAACATGGTGAAGGATGGTTTATCTGACCATATCACATTTCTCCACTGCTCATTAGTCCATAGCTTGTGCTCTTTGTACCACTGGACGCACAACCATGCATTGCCAGGTGTGATGAGCGGTATGGTATACCCGACTATGGTATCCCATTCCGTGGAGCTCTGGGCGGACTGTTTTAGATGAAACTGGCTGCTCTCGCTCGCTCCATGTTGAAATTTGCGGTCAACTAATCTGCGGTTGCTCGCCTGTTTTGTCTTGCAGTTCGAATTAATGCACGGACATCACTATCCTGGAGTATGTGTTTCCGCCCACTGTTGCCCTTTGCTGGTGATGTCTTCCCCTCTGAGTTCCATGCTGACATCACCTTAGACACCGTTGCTCGTGAAACGTCAGCTAGTTGAGCTGTCTGGGTCACAGAAACTCCCGCCAAAGCGCCACAACAATCACCCCTCTTTCAAAGTCACCGAGGTTTCCTCTTGCAGTCATGCTAGCCATGATTATAGGCAACCAGGCCTGTCCAGCATTTTTATACATGATCCTATGCATGGTGGGATGTTATATGCTTAGTTAATGGACGAGCCATACCTGTGTGGTAGCCTCTGCATTGTATATACTTGTTGTCCCTCATTTATCCAGGTGTTTCCATTTTTTTTGTCCACTACCTGTGTGATATTACATTTCAATATTTGAGCTATTACACTTTGCGAATATTTCACTTATAAGTTTAAAGAAAAACATAAACAAAACTACTTTATTTTGTTCTTCACTTTCAAACACAAATTTGCTACGAAGTTACGTTATACGTATCAAAGAAGTTATAAGTATTTTCCTATGCTTTTATCAGAAGAATGTTTGTTGAAGACTGAAACTAATTACCTATGAAACAAAAATGTAATATATTGATAATCGTAAAATTTCAAATAATTTTAAGGCAAATTTTACTCCTTTTGATAGTTACCTGGTTATACACACAAAAGGAAAGAAAGAAAAGGTTTCCATTGGAAACAGGGCATGCTGATTCAGTCAGAGGAAAGTCACAATTATTTATACCAGAGGGTGCTATAATTGGCTGTTATAAGCACGGTGGTGCGTGTTAGTTTATGTTATTTATACGTTTGTGTATGAAATAGATACACAGATAACAGATGTTAGTTAGCCAAGAGTTCAACAGACTATCTAAAATAAGGCCGAAAAAAAAAAAAAACAGCACGGCAATACAAAAGTTGATTTTTAATTTTTTTTCATAGACAGTCAAGTTACACAATGAACTATCTGCATTCTGTTCATTACGAGGAATCGAATCCCGTTAAATTACCGCTGACCCACTGGAAGACTTTTGTTTTTAAATGGTTGTGTCACAAGTTATTTCCGACTTTAATAATTTCAATCTAAAGCTTTTGTTAAAGCATAAACTATTGGCTGACACTTAAACTTAGTAATTTTGTATATTCAAGCTGTTATTTCATAACTTAAATAATTTTAGTTCGATACAACATCTTAGTGATTTTCGTTCCAGTGTATTCCCAAGGTACGAATCTAGCTTCTAAGGAAAACCCTTCAACTCAGACCCTTCCTCTTAGTAACCAGACGCCCTCGGGAAAAAGGAAGCGCTCGTGGTCACGTGCTGTTTTTTCAAACCTACAGAGAAAAGGTCTAGAAAAACGTTTTATAATTCAGAAGTACATCACTAAACCCGACCGAAGACAGCTTGCCGCCACGTTAGGCCTAACAGATGCTCAGGTGAGTTGTATGGCCAGGTTTATTTGTAGTTATCAACAAATGGAAGAAGGGGTGATTCATTAGCAGTTTTCTTTTTATGCAAAGTCTTTTGGAAACCAAGTCAATTATGAAATGAGTATGTTTCGGGGTCGAATTAACGTGGTGAAGAAGAGATTGAGAATGACAGGGAAGAGCTCAATTAAAGTTAATAAAATATGGCACTTTTTTAACTGATAAAATTACACCTCCACAACTTAATTTAGTTCACCACAAAATTGTTGTTTTTCAAGCAACTTGCTATTAGAAATGGCGTCTCAACCATTACTATGTCTGCTGTATCCCAGTTGTCCTGAAGATTCCACGGTACTGGGTGAAAAGCCTCGTTGACACTGAATGTAGCAGATATGTCGTGGTTGATATATTTAAACGGTAACGGTTGTTTCTGTTTATAAGTAATACACCTGACTTTTCGTTTTTATGAAAGTCCGCCAAACCTTGTAGTTTTGATGTGCAAAACTTCTATTAGTGAAATAAAATCGAATTATTTAAACAATAAAAATGAAACGTAAAACTAAACAAGTTTAATAAATCCCATCCTAACAACAGCAACAACAAAAGCATTAAGTGATGTAGCAACAGTACGTTAGACATAGAACCACTCTTACCATCTGCTCTTATCAGAAAATGATAAACAAATCTGTTCCTTACATGACACTAAAGATAGTGTCATCAATCACTTCACACCTCAATAAACGTGAGACTCAATGCTTGAGAAAAGTTCCCGAATCCGCTTATTTGTACAGTTACTAACAGTTTTCTCAGAATAATATATATAGTCACCTTGTTTGAAGCATGCATTGATTTTATTACTATCTCCTACTCGTAAGGCTCATATAATCACGTGAGGAGCACGTGTTTTGTTGTTTTGTATACATTTATATATATTGTTGTTTCTGTCACAGAATCCGTGTCTCCAAAATTAGCAATAAAACTAGATATAAGCCACTCCAAAGATTTCTCATCACCTTCCAAACAAATACATGGAAGTTGAGTGAAAAAGCACATCCAGACTGGGCAATGTGTTGAATTAATGGTTGTAAAATACAGTCTTGGCAAAAATGTTTACATACTGTTCTATATTGGTGTTGTTGTCTATATGCACAGAGTAGTTACTGAGTAAATGCTTGAGTAGTAACAAAAAAGGTAGCGTATATACGAGTTGTTATTCTGGTATGTATATGTTGTTTTGAGCATTTGTTCGTCAAATCACACATACACACGTTTTGTGTAAACGGACGTGCTTTTGGTATATACCTTTTTGAAACAGGTCAACGCTTTGTTCAGACAATTTCCCTGTACTTGGTGTAGAGTCAATGTCTCGTCACGTGTCAGAAGCTATAGGGCATCAAATTGTTCGACTGTCCAGAAATGTATTGAAGCAAACAGACACTGCCAGAACAGTAGGATACTCCCAGTATACTGTATCCAGAACCCTAAAACGTCATCAAACTACAGGAAAAGTTGTTCCAGGAAAGTATATTCGTAGACATCGAAAAACTAATGTGAAAGATGACCGTGATTTTATCAGGTTAACACGTCAAGATCAAAAGAAGTCTTGCAACACCTTACGACAGGAATGGGATGAACACATTTATTCCAGAATATCCAGAAAAACAGTGAATGAGAGACTGACCAAACAATGTTATTTTGCAAGAAGGGTTATCTGCAAACCAATAGTAACCAGAATTCACCGCCTTCACCATGCTACTTTGGCAAGACAGCATACCAACTTACAGTTAAGACACTGGCGACATGTCGTCTTTTCAGGTGAGTCCTGTTTTCGGCTTGTTAAAGCTGATGGTAGGATTTGTGTTCGTCGTTTGCCTGAAGTACAGATGAAGGAAGACTATCTTTCCTACAGAGAACACACAGGAGGTGGTGCAGTACATGTTTGGGCAGCTATTCATCATGGTAGAAAAACTGCTCTCATATCCTCCAGGGAAAAGTCAGTGGCGCCTCCTACAGACGATATTTCTGCTATATGCTAGACAAGGTTTGACAATAACTTTGTGTTTCAGGATGACAATGGCACTACCCACAGTGTGCGTATTGAATAGGATTATCTCGAATAGGAAGATGTTACAAGACTGCCATGGCCAACAAAGTCTTAAGATTGTAATCCCACTGAGAACTGTTGCGCATAACTGAGCCGAAAATTTGCTCACCACGACTCTAAACCAGCTACAGTAGCTGAGTTGCAGCGTCTTCTAGTGATTATCGCAATAACCTCATCGACAGCATGCCACGTCGCCTTGTGGAGGTTATTAGAGTAAAAGGAGGACCAACCAAGTACTGAATGTTTAATATGAACTGTTATACGGTTACAGACGCTGTTTATAATAATTTGATGTTATATTTTCATAATATATGTTTGATAAGGTTTCATTGTGATACGTGAAATTCTGAATTACACATCTTTCTACAGGTGTCTCATAAAAATGTTTGCTGTTCTAATAAATCGTTCATGATGTCCATAGAACCTGTCTCATTGTACAAATTACATATATTGATGTTTAATATAACATTTCTCAGTTTAACAGCGGTGAGTGTATTTTTATTTCATCTGAATAATAATGATCTTATTTGTGACAAAATATGCAAATATTTTGGTCAAGACTGTAGTATTGTTTAAATTGTTTATATTTCTTTTACGTAAAGTCGCAAAATGAAAGCTCAACTTAATACATAACCAAGAAGAATGTCTATTTGGAAAGCGACATAAGTTGCTTGTACATAAGTTTCTTCCACGATATTTCTCCGTTCAGCCGTCACATACATCAAGCAGATGGAGAATGAAACAGGTATTGATTCTGTAAGTAGACACACAGTTGAAGTTGCCGGAAATATACACAATCGTCGGATAAAGTATGACTGGATACGGCGACATGGAGTGTAATGTCTCGGTGAGGTTCCAGAATTGTTTGAATATAACGTACTCAACCTTCATATACACCAGAAGTAAACACAGTTCAACCTGAAGTATGTTTTTGTATTAGTCCTTGGCGTATTAAAAGTTTTTGTGTTTTTTTTTCACCATGTTGGAACAAAATGCTCTTCATATCCTCCAGGGAAACGTCAATGGCACCTCCTAAATCAAACAAAATAAAATTAAGATTTGCTGCTAGATATCCAACCTCATCTACATTTTTTTTCTCGAAGCTACAAATGAGTTCTCTTTCTATTTCATTACAACTTTCAGAACGATTAACGGAAATATTCTCAAGTGTTAAAATCTGTGTTGTTGTATTTCTTCGCCTTTTTTTAAGTAGTATAAATACTGATTAGTAATATTTCTCCCGCTTTTAGGTCAAAGTTTGGTTCCAAAATCGACGCATGAAGTGGCGACATTCCAAAGAAGGTCGTGAAGAGCTAGCTCAGCTGAATCAAGATACCGTTACTAACCGCTTTAAGTCTGCACGATGGTCAAAAGAGGAACTCTTGACCAAGACAGTAGTGGATTCGGACAGTACTACCGAGGAAGAAGTAAATGCTTTTGAGTCTGCTAACGTTAAACCTTTTAGTGGATAACAACATGACATGAATGACATGAACGTGTGACATTCCAGTACAGATCAAGTTAATTCTAAACAATAAAAAAATAAACAATATGTCGAGAATCACTCATTAGGAATCGAATATTGAACAGTAACCAGGAGAACAGGTGCTAATGTGGTTTGTTCAGTTTTAAAAGCCTATTGTTGTGAGGTGAAAAGCACACTTTGAGCGAAGACGAGCTCTACATCTAATGTTGCTAAATTATTAGAAACCGCCTCTGTTAGTTTCTATATCATAATATAGAAATTACCAAAACTTAGGAGCTTGGTTCTTGCGACTTCTAAAACGGCTATATATCCAGAAAAAAAAAATTATATTAAGATACACTAATTGATTTTGCAATCATAAAAACAAAACAAGTATACTTTTCTACTGATACCCCACAACTACTAAATGTGATTTTTTTTTAATGTAAAAGCAGAGGATTTTGATGCGGATCTTTATATAAGTATTTTATAAATGAAACTATTTTCTGCAAGAGAATATACTTTCTTTGTTTGAGTCTGTAAGAATGTATTTTTTACTGTTCAATTGACAACTTAATAAAATATTTAAAGATTTCGTCGCATGATTTCACTTTGAGATAAGAATTTGAAACCTTTCGATTCGGTGTTTTTAAGCATGAAACACATATACAAATAAGAAACACGTGGGTAAAGGTTACTTAAACAACTGATACGTTTGTCTGGCAGATTAAGCTGCCTTCATCAGCACTTCTTCAGATGTTCTTTTGTGAATTTATTATATGTATATATATATATATATAACATACTGAAAATAACCAAACGCGTATTGCGAGAGTTGCTGTGCATTCATTAGAGGACTTCTCAAGTTATTCTATTACATACACCCCGTATTTGGTATTTACTTCACGCACAGGAAGACGTGGTCTCAACTGGACAAGCGGATGTCCTGGTACAGATCCTTAAGATATCCAAAAAAATGTGACTAAAGTGTAGAGTGTTTTATATCAACACCAGCGTTAACTAATATAAACACATTGCAGTGATCTCCAGCTATCACAAGTACCGGAAGTAGTTACTCGTGGGCGAAAAGGGCGCATGATTCAAAGTATCAAAGATCCGCAACTCTAGTTATTTTATTACTTGAAACCACGAAGAACACTAGATGGTTTTGGTTTCAGTTTCACGATAAACTTTTTTTGATAATTTAGTATTTATGTTTTGTCCCATCGAAAATTTTAAAATAGAGTTTCTTGGAAGAATATGTATAGACAGTCCTCATACAGATAAAAATATTTACAAATTCCTGTCAATAAAATCTGCTATCCGTCCAACATTAAATTATTGCTTGTTAGTTTATCCATATTGAAATCACATCGAAATAGCATTATTTATCACTATTGCCGAAGAGAACCGTTCAATATAATAATTAAATCTTCTGCAAACAACATTTCCTAGTTTCTCTAGCACATAGAGGTAATTATAAGTCACGTCCGGATACGTAAAATCAACATACCAAACATTTTATAAACTCTCCACTCTAAATAAATTAAAAAACGACCAGAATGGTTTGGACACTCCTCGATAAAATGAAAAAACTCGAATAAATTTTATGGATGTTCTAGTGTAAGGATAAAAGACAGTAAGAAGAAAAATTATAAAAGATCTGGTCTAGTAAAAGGTCGCATTATTGATTATTTTTCAGTGATTAAGCTGAATTTGTCAATGTTTCCATATAGACAAGTTAAAACATAGAAGACATGTTATGTTTTTGTTTTGTGGCTTGTAAATACGTGAAAACGCAACACTAAGAAATGTTATGTTTTCGTTTCTTTCGAAGTTAAAGCTGGTTAGGCGTGGTCGAGTGGCTTACGCTTGGAGCAGCATATATAAAGGTCCATGACTCGAGACATGATGATGCTGACCACGATTGTTGTGGCTAACTGACTTGCCTCTGTTCAATACAGTCAAAATTAAGGGTGCTGTACCTGAATCCTTAGCCTAATTTAAGGCTAAAGCTGCTTATTATATTTTGTTGTGGAAATGGGATTGATATATTATGTTTGTTCTTCTCAATCCTGTTAAGGCTACGACACAAAGAATATAAGCAGGTTTTTAACGGTTTTAACGCCTCCCGATAGCTCAGAAGTAAAATTGAAAACTTATAACATTAAAATTCGGGGGACAATTCCTGAGGTGGCCAAAGTGCAGATAGCCTATTGTGCAAGTCTGCGCTTAAAGAAAACGAACAATATTAATATAAGTCTCGTTATTTAGCTTATTTCGAAAACCAGAGAAACTATCATGTACGATGTAACACACACATTATACTGTTTGTAACTGAGCTACATAAAATTCAAATAATTATCCCAATTATAACATTCATTAGATTGTGTCTATTAAAAGTATGATCGAAGCTAGTAAAATATTGAAGTCAAAACATTAGAATGATAAACAAACAAACAAACGACAGTGGCTTCAAGTACTGAAACTGAAGTCCTCGTTGGAAAGACTGACAAAGAGTAAGTTTATGGACTTACAACACTAAACTCTGGGGTTCGATAATCGATCAGATAACCCAATGCAACGTGGTGAATGTGCTAGACTGTACTTCTGATTAATATCCTTGACGATATATGCCACATATGTGATTTTGTTTTAAAGCATATTTTAGATTATTAAATTATATATTTTGAAGCACCAGCCCCAATGTTCCACATTAGCAAGTCCAGTGAAATTCTGTTCCTTCAGCATATAGGTATGAGTAGGCAACTTGGAATGTGTTAAACACCTAAACTACTAATAGCTATTTTTCGTTGAAGGTCTGGAAGCTCCTGTCGTCGTAACTTTTTTCCCAATTGTGTTTGTGACTACTATTAATATTTGAAGCCCTAAAATTAGGAATGGACCATGAAATCCACGCGGCAATTCTGTGACAGTGAGCTCATTTCTAGTAGAAGGAGTTCAGGTTAAAGTTTTTAGTAATAATTTTTTTTTGTATCTAAGTAAATTGCTTTCCATGCACAATTGTATCTATATGTATATCGAGAGTCGTTGTAAATTTAACAATAAAACATCTATCATTAGCCGTAATTTTGCGTTAGTTACATTTTCATTTTGTTGTAAGTAGAAAAACAGCAGAAAAATATTATTTCGTGGATTAATTTTGATAAACTAGTTTGTCCCTGAATGGATAACTTTTTTTCTGGCTTTTCAGTCTTTGTGAAACTGTAAATAAATTCCAAACAATTTCTCAATTAAAAAGAAAAAAAAAGTACCAACTATATTAAGCACAAAGATGCTTGAACAACCAAGAACATGGGATGTATCATTTCACGCATTTACAAACAACGCCACGTGACAGTCTGAGTGGGCGGCCTCTTCTAAGTTCTTTGCACTGCAGTTTGTTGCAGAGCAATGTTTATTGATTTAACATAGTCACTGGGGTCCTCCATCTAAATATTTGCGTCACAACCTCTAATTGACAAAAGCCTGTACCTTGCTCATCCTAAATGCACCAACCAATGCTTTCTAAAGAATACTGACGCAGACATATTGTAGAATTATGGACCTTCCAACTCTTCTGGAGCGTCATCACATTTTGCCCATCCAGCCCACGTTTCATTTGTTTGCTTAAGCCAAACGAACTATTCGTTCTCGGGTAAAAAACCGGTTTCATTACCATGCCGTGATCGTTGCAGTACTAAACCTTTCAATGTGAGTGATGAAAAAGATCAGGCGAACTTTCTTATAGATCTGTTGATTATGTAAACTGACGTGATGGTTATGTGATATATCATCTCCCAGGTTTTAACGATACATCTGAAGTACCTTTGAACATAACATATTCAATAGAATATTTCTTATCAACATCCTCCCTGCAAAAAGATTTTTATCCTCTTATAATGATGAAACAGTTAGGTGAAATAAGTTTATTGTCGTTCTACCCACTTACCCACATTGGGTTTCTTTATGACTTCCTTTAAAATATTCATTTTAGGCTTTTATGTTTGTATGCAACTACATTTAATTCCAGTCACATTTATGTGCACATATGGGTAGAAAATCAGACATATGTTATTTTTTTTAAATTTCCAATTTTAAAATAATGACAGAAACTCAACCGTAATCACATTTGACTCCACTATGATATAAATAACGAACTTAAAGTAAGCAAATAATAACGTTAAGTATAGATATTTACGGAGGTCCACAAATTATGTCCTCTGTTTGATTAACCTACAAATTATAAATTATGGTTTTGTGTCTTTCACTACCAGTAGGATCTACATATTGCATGCAATGTGAATAATTGTATATATTTGCCTGTTACAATACAACATTTATTGCAAAGAATTAACAACAAAAAAAGGGTGAAAGCAATTATTATCTATGTAAGATACATACAGGCGCAAGAAGTAATTAATAGGATTTAATGCAATATTGCTGGTATTAGTATTTCTATTTTTTCTATGGATGATATATAAAAAGTTACCCTGTAACCAACAGTCATGGACGCAGAAGCAAATTTATTTTTGTTGTGCATTATGTTAATTTTAGATCAGTTTTTATTAGTAATTTTATGAATTTTAGCAGGTTAATTTCCAACTTATACGATTTAAAATATTTTGTGCATAGATTTGTTTTCGACACCACAGGAGCCCGGCATGGACAGATGATTAGGGCTCTTGACTCGCAATCTGAGGGACGCGGGTTCGAATCCCCGTCACATGAAAAGGGCTGAAAGGGCGAGCATGTTTGGTGTGACGGGAATTCGAGACTGAGACGGAGATTGAGAAAAGATAAAACAAAGAGTGGTTTATTCACATCTCTTTGTCGGGTATAAAAAGGCAATCATATAATTATCATATATTTTCTTACAACGAAACCAAAAATATCTCTATAATAGAAACTGCTGAAATTTCATGAAAATGTTATTTTCGAAATAATAATAATATTTCAGCCTTTCATTAAATCTGTACATTATGATATATAAAACCACTAAGTCATAGCGGATAGAAGAAGAACATAAGTCAGACTAGCAGAAATCTAACAGACCAAGCGCTCTCGAAAGGTATCTTAAAGGGTAAAATTTTAATTTACTGTTGAAGAAGAAAGGAATGTGTTACGT